TATTATTTATTATTTTAACTTTATACACAAGTGCCAAAATACTATAATCAGAAGTATGTTGTTGGCTCAGAGTCTGATTCAGAGGTCTAACTAGGATAGGGGCACGTTGTATAAAAAGGTTGGAAACCACTAGCATATAGTAACAGTAATATTAGTCTACTAAACCTTTTAAGTTAAGATTAAAAATAAAATAAACGGCAGAAACAAACAAGTAACTAACTTGTTCAGTTGTTGGGTATTCCCCTTCTCATGAACTTTACGTCTTTAGCTTTAGTTTAATATTGGAAAACCATAAACGATAAAAAACACCATAATGCGCACGTTTGGTAAAATTTGATTGCAGATTTTTGTCTGTTATTGAGTATTACATATCATTTTGTTTTTTCCCATTTTCATTATTCTATAAGTACGTCTACATTCTGACTTAACTTATTTACCCAGAACACTTATCTACGAAACTTTACATGTTCCAACACAGGTTAATTCTAGTAAAATTTACTGTTTTTATGCAATGTGCAAGAGTGTATTGCACGCCATCGCTCGGAATCGACAAATAATATTAATATTAAATTTATTACACTTTTAATAGTTGGTTGGTTTCGATGACGAGGAACCCACTTTGAGACTAATAATGGCTGGAGACGGCTTGAATGGGTAATGAAGAAAAACTTTAATATAACAGCAAATCTACAACGTTTCGACAAGGTTTTGTCATCATCAGGTACCTGATATAGATTTAAACTGATGAGTCAGATCAGGGAGTATTGATATTACTGTTTTATTTCATCTCAACTCAGCCGATCAGGAGAAGTAAGATGCTAAAAGTACTTATCTGGCTGTCCAGGAGAAGTCAAAGGAAGCACCAGAGGAAGAGGTGTGTGATAGTTCTGATGATTAGACGAGACGTAAAATTGATATCCTGATTGAAATGTTTGACATTAACTGCTAGATATATAACTTAGATGGCAGGTTAATTGATAGATTTACCACTGAATGAAAGTGGCATTCCTTACTTTCTGAGACTTTGAGCAACGTTTTATGGTAAGATGTCTATAGAATATTGTGTTATAGATGTTAAATTATTATAGAGTTAGGACAGCTGATGTTAGTAGATATAATGCATAGAACCTCGTCAGTTTGTATGAATGAATATGATTAGTACAAGTTGCAAAGCATTACAGATTCTACTTTCGTACCTTTGAATATTTTTGGCTGCAAGATGTTTATATGACATCTTGATATCACTACTTGCACTATCAACCTGAGTAGTAGCATAATGTCTGCAGAGCAGACCACATGATACTCACTACACTCATAGCTAGGGTAGCTAATAGTTTTAATACCTAGAAAATTTATAGTTAACCAGATTTCAAATAATTGACAGAATCACTAATACATCTGAAAGCTGATATGAGATTACAGTCATTGCTCTCCAAGCATTCAGGTGGCAATTTGTACAGAATATATTTGCGGAATAGAAGAATGTTTGAGAAAAAAGAAAAACAGTTTGAGCTTGTGCATATATATGTGAGTGCAAAATATACTTAGCCTGTGCACACAAGTATTTGTAACTACGAATCAAAGTGTTTCATTTGATTTTGCCCATATAAATTTTCTGTGATGCTAACTGTATTGAATGGGTCAACTTACAAGTGGCTACTAGAGATTGTGGTTGTCTCGGACAGTAAACATGGTTCACTGCAGAATACTGTATTTATTCTATGTTGATCTGAAAAAATCTTAGTATTTTGTGAAGGTGAAGGAATGAGTTGAATTTATTATTTGTTGTATGACACAAATGGCTCAATTACACAGAGATCAAAATCGTCAAGTAGCATACAAATGAAAATAAAGAATTTGGTCTGAATGTTAAGGCTCTGAGATATGAAATAAACTGTGATTACTGACCTGTAACATTAGTGTAAGATTTTCATGAATGGTGGAGAGAGAGTATTTTCAGTTTTGACACTGAAATATTTCGCAGATAGTGGATTTTTCATTGAAGAGATGAGAGTAACAGATGAGCTCATACTATATTTGTGGAAGCATGGTTTCACCTGATGTTTTAGGTGATAGTTATTAAATGTACTTTTAAATTTTAGAAACTGGCATATGAACAGTGGCTAACCTGTTTCAGTTATTTGTGTAAGAACCAGCAGTTACAGTTTTACCCCATTTCCATCCCATTGGACCCGAACGTTGCTGCTGTGACGACCAGACAATGGGAGAAGACTCTCGTATATGAGTTGTGTTATCTCTTGTCACGACAAAAGTGGACAGTACAATAATATGTTGATCAAGTGAGGGACTCTAACGAAGCTTGGTGGACAACGATGTATACAGGTACAAAGGATATTTTCCTATAGGTAATACAGCAATAGTTTTAGAGCATGTAGTAGTTCTAATTAATTCGATACAACTTTGAAACCTACCATTTACGGCTATAATTCTGATAATTCAGAATCAAGTTAACCATACATTTTCGATCCTGCCTTTTTTTCTAGGTAAATTAAATCCTTAACACTTCTGACTATCTTGATAACCAAAGTAGTCAGTTAAGATATAAGTATGATTTTATTGCTGGACTGCTTTACTTTCACTACCAACATGAAGGAAGATTATTGAGAAAGCTCTTATGTTGCAACTTACTAAATATAGAGAAATTTCCTGTAGCCCCCAAGACTTCTGATGTTGAGTTAATGTTTGGTTCAGCTGACATAGAGCTAATGGAAGAAGATGATATATTAAATGACTCATTAAACATGTAGGCTCTTGCAGAAGCAGTGAGGGGATCACCTCTGGTGTCTCCAAAAATAATCAGACCACTTCCAACTCCAAATATTCCCTCAGCTCTTAAAGAAATGGCAGACACTTTGTGAGAGCTGATTCACTGTTGAAATCAAGCCTGCTACAACATAATCACCACCATTGACATCAGTGTCAAAAGTGGCACCACAAATCTGTAAAATCCAAGGCTGACGAAGATTAAGAAGTGTCTTATGGTAGGGTACAGAATAATATAATGCTGGTGATGTCAGATGTATATTTACCTTTAACAAGACCGCTACACCTCAAAAATAAAAAGACCTTCAAAATACTCCAACTACTGAAAAGATCTAATTCTGTTGATGGACATAATTTATGGGTTTCTGCGTCGACGGCTATACCATCACCATCGAAGTGAGCTCATTTGCACCCACAATCTCCCATCAACATTAAACTCCTACCCATGCTCTGAAAGAAATTCTGAAGAATTTTACGAGCCAGCAGATGCATGCCCTCAAATCCCACAGTCAGGCATAGGCAGCTACATGGAGGGAGGCCTGGAAATTTCTGCCAGGGGAAGGTAGAATGGAAATGCTGCCGTAAGAAGACAATGACCTCTGGAACAGATTAGGAGGTTCACTGAGTTCTATAAGAAATTTGCATTGGATGAGAACCCTGCCTCGTGTAAAGCAGACAATCTAGCAGACCACTACCATTCACAATAAATTCGCCATGGCTATTATACTATTGGACTACAAAGATATTTAGTATTAATCCTTACTTTTTAATATTTATTATTAGTATTTAATTCATATTACATCAAAAAGTCTTACTGCATTTAACACTCGCCAAAGAATTCATTTTTATAATATTACTTATACGACGTTTCCCTTCATATCGATAACTTATTAGTTACCACTTCATTTAACTAGCATATTGTAATACAATTAAAGTGATTTCATTATCGAAAGTTTTTGTTCACCAAACAATATCATTGTCAATATTGAGATAAGGTACAATAAAAATGTTTTCATTATTGAATGGTTTTCATTCAAAATGTTCTCTTGGTTAATATTATGACACAATTAAAGAGCCCTTACCATTAAAAGGTTTCTTTTCAATATGTCTATAGTTATCTTTGTTAAAGGTCAAGCCCATTTAATTTTGTGTTTTATATAATATTCTAGTCACCCGACTACAAACTTCTGTGACTAGTGTAATTATCTTTGTTAAACAGTATTTTTGAGTATCTATCATAAACTGTTTCGTCTCTGTGTGGTGTTGTGTAAGCATTTTATAGGGGTAAGAACAACTTGCTACAGTATTATGATGACCGATGCATAGTTTTGTTTTATACATTTCCTTGGATTTATAACTTTACAGTTAGGGTCAGCCAGGATGGCTTGCAGGTAAAGAAGGGAGGAAACGTGTGATATTCAAATCATATTTAGTGTTTTCTATCTTTTTTATTTTAGTAATGGGAGTTTCACGTTTTCACTGCAGTGGCTCAGCAATAAGCTTGAAGGATTATAAAGGTAAAAATCAGGATTACAATATTCACGGTGTGCACAGTGTAGGTAGACCATCGTGTAGCTTTGCACTTAAAGACAAGGAAATAAAAACTAACACAATTTCATGTTCACATAGAATTTTCAACATTCTTCGACAAGCTATGCGAATTGTTTCACCAGTAAAATGTTGGTGGTGGAATGCTACTCGAATGCTTTGGACCTAATTACCCATTGATAATTCTCCTTTCATTTTGATATCACATTAATCTTCTCGTGGGAAAGTTGCCGTATAAATGAACACACTATGTAAATTAGGGCAGTGATCTTTTCCAGAGTCAAGTCAGGTGATATGTGGAGGACGTGGAATTATCAACAGTGCCGTAAGTAGCAACTTTACTCTGAGAGGGATGGTGTTATTGTTTTCGTGTATATATTTTCAAACTCCCTCAGCCTAGAACAAAATATTTTCAGAATAAGACAGATAATTTATATCCTTCTTTCTGTCACCTAGAAGTGCCGTCCATCCTCCAGTATACCTTACTTTGTTTGTTTTTGATTTAATATATATTGGTTTTCATTTTCTTTTAACATCGTGTTCAGTCTCTTTTCTGATCCAAACTCTGCCAGAGAATTCAATGTAACTCTGTTGGAGATTTTCTGATGATCTTCTAACTACTATGGTTGTTATTTTTATCTCTAAAAGTTTTTGGTGCACCCAAGAATACCACAAGTAAAAATAGCCTAACCTGTGATACATGAGATTTGTCAAATTTTAAATACTGGGCTGTGAATCATTAATGGAAGGTGTGGTGCTCCTTATATTTGTATTACACGTTATTCGTAGCTGGGACATCCCCAAAAACTGTTACTTTACATTATCTGCAAGGTATGTGAATCTTCAACGCTCAATGCAAATCATCTGTTTTAAAATCCCAGTGTGAAAATTTAGAAGCTTATGTATTTCTTTAAAAGGCGTATTTGTATAACACAAACATAACTGTAATTGGATACAAATAAAATGTTTACTGTTTGGTTACTTATATGAAATGGTTGTTAATATTACAGTCGAAATGGCAGAACTTCGTTATGCCATTAACAATTATTTTAAACCTGAACTAATTTTGGCGCGTTTTTGAGTTTTTTTGTCCATTGAGAAAGATATTGAGAAAGTTATTTCCCCAGCTGGCTAATAGATGGCAACACTTCACTTTAACAAAGAAATATAT